CCCTGAAGATCCACTCATTCTCCTCACACGAAAGCAACATACCGCTGTATTTAAATTGTGAACTTGACACAACAGACTCTGTGTAGCTATATTATGTTCAAGACATTCATCTTCTTTCTGTTCTCTGTCTGTAAACTCCAGCAGAAAGTTCTGGCTGTTCATCCACTTGAGGGCTTTGGTCTTGTTCCAGACTTTTGAGTTTTGCTTGCACATCTGCTTTACAGATCAGTTTTATTTGCTTATTCCTCGCCTCTCAAGCAGATGCACTCTGACTCTGAAGGTGATGTTTATGACAGACTCTCTTCGTGCAGCAGGAAGACCCCAGGTCTGGCCATCTAACATTCAGGTGAAAAACAAGCTGTGTGGAGTTGAAGAAGACATAAGTCACACCACAGCTTTAACAGAGGCCTGTGCCCTTCTTATCTTCTCCTGATAAGTTACAGTTTTCTATGATGAAGTGTTCAGGTTGTTTTTCTCACAATCTAGAGGTCATGGGTTCAATTCATTGATGTGTCTTTCAGTTCATACGTGCAGTTTTAAAGAAAATCACTGAGGACTGTCACTGGAGCTACAGAGCTTGTGCTCTGTGTGACACTCTAGGCAAGCAGCTAGACTTAGTCCAGAAGTGGATGTTAAGAAGAGAAAGAAGACTGTGTAGATGCAGTAGACACAGGTCACTTGAATTTTATAAAAAGCAGGTAGGTCATGGTTGAAAAATACCCGCTTGGTTTGAACAAGTCAGCCAAACTCAGATTGAAAGACTTGAGAAGGTGCAAAACGAGGCAATGCACATTAATCTGGGGTGCAGTGAGGTACCTTCTTGACTTTCCCTACAGGATCAAGATCTGGAGGGCTTGTGCAAATCTCAAGATAAGCTCAGAAATGAAGCACCCTTTGCACCACATGCTCTTCAGGTGCAGCCTGGAGCTGCAAGAAATGAATATTTTTTAGGGGCAAGAAGTTTCATAACCAGCAGGGAACAGGCGTCATCAGTCATTACATACTTGTGGAGTTTTTAAGGAGGAGATCGGAGCACCTATGGATCTGTCCAGAGTGCTGTGATGATAATCCTTTCTAGTCATTAATCACTCTTTAGGAAAAATGGCAAAATACTTGAAAGGCTGGGTAGGGCAGAGGATGACATCATGCAGGTCAGCAGCCTTACAGATATCCATCCAGGTGAGGAATGGATACCAGCATCTAAAGTGCTCAATCTCACATTATCCTGTATCGTGGCGCTTGATAGGAGTTGTCAGAAGCAGAATCCTGCTGCTGTCAATGCAGAAGTATGCGCATTTATCAGTGACAAGTCAAATGAGACAGGTGTGGTGATCTTCACAGACGGGTCCGTTATACGAGGACATAAAAGTACATGGGCATTTACAGCTCGCTCTTCAGGCAGAACAGTTCAAGAAGCCAGCAGTGCCTTCTCCATGACTACCAGCAGCATGATGATGGAGGTGATGGCAGTGACACAAGCTTTCATGTGGCTAGAATCACATGACTATTCCCGTGTGTGTGTGCTGAGTGATTCTTTAAGCATGATTCGGCGGGTCGAGGCAGGCTGGTTACGCAGACAGTGGATTGTGTCATTGCAAAACTCTACACTGTGTGTGCAGTTACCTTCTTATTTGTCCCAGGGTATGCAGGTGTTATTGGTAATGAAAGAGATTACAGACTGGCAGGTGCTGCATTAATTAAAGATGGCTAGCCCATGGATCACGCAGACACTGTCAATGCCCCTAGAGAGATAGGACGTTCCAAGGATTTTGGAAGCAACGAATACGAGAAATGGGAGTAAAGATCTGCACAGTCAAGTATGACAAGCACACCAAACATACACAAAGTCTTGCCAACCAGCTTAGGACTGGCACTATTAACCGCACGACGCTGATGAATATGCTGAGAGGGGAATCTGAGAACCTACAGATGTGTCCGGAGTGCTGTGAAGATAATCTACACATACTGCAGAGCTGTCCCCTACAGCAAAACCTGCAGGAATTCACATGGCTTGAGGGACCAGGCATTGAGGACCAACTTTGGAGAATCCTTGGAGGCTTGCTACTGATGTGCCAGTTCACGGAGGCAACACACCTGACAACCTATCACAAAGAAGGATAAGAACAAGACATGTATTCATTATGTCCTTGACAGATCTCACCTGCCTCAAGGCACATCTAACGGTATTTCTTTCTTTAGAAAATTCTTCAGCCCTGTGTGCTTTCACAGCAAATGCATCTTCAATGTTCTGTATCCACTTTCGCAGAAGTCGGCCTCTGTCTTGTTTTCTGGAAATTGCACCCATTATCACAATTCTCTCAAGACCACATTGGCACTTGACATGTTCAAAATACCTCAACTTTTGGGAGAGGATGCTATTTACAAGCCAGCTCTTCTCAATGCTCACTTTATGCAGGATGTTGATGTTTTTACCTTTTCTTGGTCCACGGTATTCTAAGGCCCTTTCTGTGGCATTTCAGTTCTAAAAAACTACAAAAAAATTTCTTCAGAGACTGAGTGAGAATCCATGACTTTTATGCATAAGGTGCCATGAGAAAGATGCATGACCTCAAATTTTCAACTTTAACTTATATGCAGTGCTGTGCCATAATTTCTTCATGCTGTTTAACCTCTGCATTGCTAAAGTATAGGTCTTTTTATGACATTGTTCATGCAGTCGCCAATGTTGTTCATTACGGAGCCTAAATATTCTAAATCTGTGACATTTTCAATCTTTTCATTGTCAAATTTAATACGCAGTTGGTGTGCTGTATTCAGTGTGAATATTATTTTTGGATTAAGAAATAGATTCACTTTTTTCACTGTGCCTTTTGACATTCAAAATTCATTTTTCTAAGCCGTGTACACTGTTGGAAAGGAGAACTGGGTCGTCTACATGTCTGAGTTCTGGGACAGGTCTACCTCCAATTTTGAGTGGATTGAAGCTGTATCACACGTCTCTTCACTAACTGCATTTCTTATATTTTCAGCACATATATTTAAAAGGTATGAAGAAAGAACTCAACCCTCTCTTACTCCTCTCTGCACCTCAAACCAATCCGATGTTTCATCAGCTACTCTGACTGCTGCTTGTTGTTCATGGTAAAGAGATTGCACCTGATGTATCAAATGTGTTGGAAATCCCATGCATCTCAGTATAGGCTACAGTTTTTTGATGTTGGACAGTCAAAAGCCTTTCTGTTATCAATGATGCATGTGGAGATCTATCTTATACTCTCTGCATTTGTTAATAATTATTATGTTGAAAATATGATCCCTTGTTCTTCTAGTGGGTCTAAAACCTGCCTGTGCTTCTTGTAATTCAAATTCGAGTTTCTTTTCAATCCTCTTCAAGAAGATTTGCAGAAGAATTTTGCTGGCATTGGATCACAGCTACAGTACGATTGTTGGTTCATACTTTAAGATGTCCTTTTTCTCGGGAGGGGAATGTAGACTGTTGGACATGCACTAAGAGCAGCCAATAAAAATGTAACCAGAATGCTCTTGGACTGGAGCATACAGTTCCAGGAATACAGGCAGACTAAAATGTATATGGAGAAGAGAGTTGGAGAATGAGGGTTAAAAAACAAATTGGGAAGGATATGGGGAAAGAAAACGATAGCATGGATAGGATTGTCAGATGTAAGATGGTTGAGGGTCTGTGCTCCATGGGGAGTGGGGTGGGGAGGGGTGCAGAAAAAGGTTGTGGGTTATTTGGCCATTATACAAAGGGGGACAAAGGTATCTTAATTGTTATACAAGTGGGACATAGACAACTAAGTCATTTTACATGGGCCGCATGTCATTGACTGTTATATTTTAGTGTTGGGAGTGACTTGGCTATCACAAAAAGGAATTAAACTAGAATGTCAAACCGGATAATAACATTATAAAAGAATATCTTCTATCACAACCTACAAGGCATAAGAAATAGTGGCAATTCTTGTAGCGGACTGTTTGAGCTGGCACTTCTGATGGATGCCTAATGCATTAAGTGAATGTGTGTGATACTGATTTTGCCAAGACTGAAATGTTGTCACAATGGACAGAGACTGGTATTATGTGTGGTTTTTGCTGGTACTAACAAACAAGAGATAGTGAGACAGCTAAACTAAAAACACAGGGAGAAGAGAATCAGAGACAGATAAAAAGACTTGGTGGAAGTTGCCTCAGGGTCTGCTCCAGTGGAAGATAAAAGGAAGCAAGAGGAGATGGAAGATTTAGAGGGGGAGAGGTTAAGGAGAGGCTAGAGGAGGGGAAGGTGTTAGAGGAGGGGAAAGAGGCTGGAGGAGGAAAAGAGGTTGGAGGGGAAAGGGGGGGGGGGGAGAAGAAGAAAAACAATATGTTTGCCACACAATACCTAGGAGCCCCTATAGCAGAATGGCTACATCTGACCTGCTAGCCCAAAGATGTGGGGCTCAAATCTGCATCACAATAAATTTATCTTTTCAAAATGACCATATTTTTCTGTGTATAAGCTCCACCGTATAAGACGATTCATTAATTCTTTTTTTTAAGGCCCAAAATTTAGAAATAAATATTTTAATCACATTGCAGGTATAGGGCGACCCCCAATTTTAAACTAAAAAAAAATCTGCGAATACAAATACGTTAACCTTGGCTCCCAGGTTGATTCAGCCCAGACGGGTACAAGGTAATGTCTTGGGAAGTAGAGGCAGCTTGTATGATGTTTGCCATATCACATATAGAGTGCCCACTGGTCTATAAAAATATAAGCCTGGTCCTATATGCCTCAAAGGAATGAAAATGATCAGGTTCATTTAAACAAAACCTGTTTTGAGATAAACATATACCATGACTGATCGATCCATCCATCAGTTGTTCCCTCCTCAGGACTCCTACCAGGTTTACCTTACCATCCTGAGAAGACCAAGGCAGATCCCATACACCATACAACCTCCAAAGAAGTTATGATTATGGCACCTGTTACGGTTACAGAGGTGTAACCTGTAGTTCTATGCGGGTGAGGATGATATATATCATGACACTGGACTATGCCTTTTCACGCCTAAAAGAACTTCCAGCCAGCAAGGGCAAGAGGTAATGAACTGCCTGGAGTAGCTGGGGCCCCAACCTTTGGCCAGACTAATCCGTACACTGCATGGATCAAAGGGTCCATCATTCAGCAACATACTCCTGGCTTCGGTCCTCTCTAGGAGTTCTGCTCTAGCATAGTCAAAGATCTTGATAGAGTACCCGGGCGGTACTTTCTTCACTACTAATGATCTTGGAGACTTGGGGTCATCCAGGGTGGGGGAGTTGACGAAAATGGGGAAGTTTGAAGCATTATAAGCCCAGACCTCGCCTTTCCTGCAGGGAAGGTCTGAAGACACTGAAGTGAATGATGTGCCTGAGGTGGTCTGTGTGCTGGATGCTGCGGTTATCTTTCCTGTGATGCCAGTAGAATCCCTCACAGAGCTGCTGCTTGTATACAGGGGAAGAGACGACGAGGATTGCGATAACAATGATGAAGAGGAGCAGGAAGTTGATGATGTTTGTGGCAGCATTATTGTAGGTTTCAAATCGCTACTTTCATTATATAGGCCACTCACATGTCTTGAGGGACCCTCACAAGATTGTTGCTTCTGCTGCTCTAGCTGGCTCTCAGCCTGATCCGGGCAACAGTCAGCATCACAGAATTTGAACCGAACTTCTGTCTCTTCACAACCTATAGCAGCATCACCACCTCCTCCAGCACAAGCAACTAAATCATAACTATCACATGGCTTGGGTGTTCCACTGAATGAGGTCACGGGTTTGCAATAAGAGGTAGCTGGAAAAGATGATAGGCCGGCTCTTTGGGACCTGGAAGCCTCCATCCTAGCACATGAAGGACTAGTCACTGGTTTCAATGAGGGCACCACAATGTCTGACAATGGAGGAGACGACACAGAGGGCACCACAATGTCTGGCGATAGAGGAGACGACACAGAGGGCACCACAATGCCTAAAGATGGAGATGATTCAGAGGGCACTACAATACCCACAGGTCTTGTCGAAGCAGAACTTGCCTCCTCTGGTGCCCTGGCTGAGTTTGCGTTGTTTCTGTGAGCTGCTTCACGACTTAAAATAATTCCAAATCCTATTTTCTCCCTGGTTCTCTTCACCATGTCTATGTTGGTGGGTTTCTGGAAGAGTCTTAGACACATGCCATCTCCATGAGGTAAGTGTTGAAATATATGCACGCTAGGTTCCGTGACAGAAAATAGGCGACCCACTCGTTCACGTAGTTCCCAATAAGCAATGGTGCACCACAGCAAACAGTCATACTCTGCATCATCACTGGTGTGGCCTGCAAATAGAGGGAACACATGTTCAACAAAAATGGCCATAAAACAGCAAAGAAGAAAAAACAATTCTTTTAACAGCAGCCCATCATTCCAAGGTGCCAGACCAAAATTTTTTTATAGCCCCGATTGGCAATGATAGGCAATGATAGGCGATAATAGGCGATGATAGGCAATGATAGGCGATGTGGTCAAAAAGACACATCTCATGATACAGGGGCATTAAGCATACAGGGCTAGATCCATATTTCTTTAGCCCTACTGGCAGTGATAGGAGATGTGGTCAGTAGAATACTTCTTGTGTAATACAGTGGCTTCATACATGCAGTGCCTGACCCTTTTTTTGTTAGCCCGACATACATTGATAGTTGACATGTTCAGTAGGATACTTCTTGTGACAGTGGCTTCAGGCATAAAGTTAAAAGTCAGAAGCAGCCTGCACTTAGTACTTATCCCTGCCTGCACTTGGTACTTATTCATGCCTGCACTTGGTACTTATCCCTGCCTGCACTTGGTACATACCCCTGCCTGCACTTGGTACATATCCCTGCCTGCACTTGGTACCTATCCCTGCCTGCACTTGGTACCTATCCCTGCCTGCACTTAGTACTTATCCCTGCCTGCACTTGGTACTTATATCTGTCTGCACTTGGTACTTATCCCTGTCTGTGCTAGATATTTATCACTGCCTGCACTAGACACTTATCCTTGACACACACTTATCGCTGCCTGCACTAGACATACTTGTCTCTGCCTGCACTAGACACACTTGTCTCTGCCTGCACTAGACACACACTTGTCTCTGCCTGCACTAGACACAAACTTGTCTCTGCCTGCACTAGACAAACTTGTCTCTGCCTGCACTATACACACTTGTCTCTACCTGCACTAGACACACTTATCTCTGCCTGCACTAGACACACGCTTGTCTCTGCCTGCACTAGACACACACTTGTCTCTGCCTGCACTAGACACACACTTGTCTCTGCCTGCACTAGACACACACAAATCTCTGCCTGCACTAGACACACACAAATCTCTGCCTGCACTAGACACACACAAATCTCTGCCTGCACTAGACACAAACTTATCACTGCCTGCACTAGACACAAACTTATCACTGCCTGCACTAGACACAAACTTATCACTGCCTGCACTAGACACAAACTTATCACTGCCTGCACTAGACACAAACTTATCACTGCCTGCACTAGTCACAAACTAATAGCTGCCTGCACTAGACACAAACTAATAGCTGCCTGCACTAGACACAAACTAATAGCTGCCTGCACTAGACACAAACTAATAGCTGCCTGCACTAGACACAAACTAGACACACTTGTCTCTACCTGCACTAGACACACTTATCTCTGCCTGCACTAGACACACGCTTGTCTCTGCCTGCACTAGACACACACTTGTCTCTGCCTGCACTAGACACACACTTGTCTCTGCCTGCACTAGACACACACAAATCTCTGCCTGCACTAGACACAAACTTATCACTGCCTGCACTAGACACAAACTAATAGCTGCCTGCACTAGACACAAAGTAATAGCAAACTGCACTAGACACAAACTAATCGCTGCCTGCACTAGACACACACTTATCTCTGCCTGCACTAGACACACACTTATTGCTGCCTGCACTAGACACAAAGTAATAGCTGCCTGCACTAGACACAAACTAATCGCTGCCTGCACTTAATGCTTATTCCTGCCTGCACTTAATGCTTATTCCTGCCTGCACTTAATGCTTAACCTTGCCTGCTCTTAGTGCTTAACCCTGCCTGCTCTTGGTGCTTAACCCTGCCTGCACTTGGTGCTTAACCCTGCCTGCACTTGGTGCTTATCCCTGCCTGCACTTGGTGCTTATCCCTGCCTGCACTTGGTGCTTAACCCTACCTGCACTTGGTGCCTATCCCTGCTGGCACTAGACACAAACTAATAGCTGCCTGCACTAGAGACACACTTATCTCTGCCTGCATTAGACACACATATATCTCTGCCTGCACTAGACACAAACTTATCACTGCCTGCACTAGGCACTTGATGCCTATCCCTGCTGGCACTTGGTGCATATCCCTGCCTGCAACTGGTGCTAATCCCTGCCTGCAGTTGGTGGTTATCCCTGCTTGCACTTGGTTCTTATCGCTGCCTGCACTTGGTACTTATCGCTGCCTGCACTTGGTACTTATCGCTGCCTGCACTTGGTACTTATTTATGCCTGCACTTGGTACTTATCGCTGCCTGCACTTGGTACTACTTATTTCTGCCTGCACTTGGTACTTATCCCTGCCTGCACTTGGTACTACTTATTTCTGCCTGCACTTCGTACTTATCCCTGCCTCCGACTTGGAGCGAAGTTAAACGACTCTAAAGTCAAGCAAGCTGACATGTCTTGTGTTTACACTAGTAATTAACGTGTGACGAGCTGTATCGATTATAATCGTGGTCTGGTTTCTCTGTGCCTAATATGTTGGCTATGAAATGTTAATTGCACGAAAACTAGTGGCTTGAACCGGTACTCTAGCACCTAGTGATTGTTGTCAGGGAGGGGGGCTGGTATGCACTATACACACCCATTCAACCACATCGCCACGCAAACCTGCGGTGACCCACCTAACAAGTTCTAGGCATGAGTGCGGGTGTTCTTAAAACTGACGTCAACGCCAGAGTAGGGGGAGAAAAAAAACAAGTGACGCCACATTACACGCCAGTGACGGGCAGGGCATAGAAAGAAAGAAAGAAGAAATCCATTTGAAAAGATTGGCACAGCAGTTCATTGAGCATAATATGTTAATCCTCCTCGCACGTATGCAAATGAAAACAATCAAACGGTGCGCCTAACCGACGAAACTTCACGAAAACAAACCAAATTCTGCACTAAACTACAAGATTTGGGAGGGGGGTATTTAAACCAGGCAGCAATAATGCACCTGTGATTACTGCTTTTCGTCCTTCTTAGGACGTTATTTTTTGTTATTTGAAGCCCCACTCTGGCTTTTGCCAGGGGCCGCAATATAGGCAGGTCAACATTATGGCCAAATGTCTGAACGCGGTTTCTGGGACCTCTCCACGGTGATCCTCATCCGCATGGTGGCACTTTGTGTCATCGGGTGTTTATCGCTTGTGTGATGTCCTGGTGGGGTAAAAAATCCAATCCAATGCACCTGTGCATGGTTCAAACATAGACAACCGGCCTTTTCTTCTAGAAACACCTCCCTCCATTTCCCTCCGCCTACAAGAGAGCAGGCAAGGTTTGATGTCAGGGAAAATGTGAATGGAATATGTGTCAAGGTCGTGGAATCCCCGGTAAGCTCCATATTCTGAACCTAATGTGTGTGTTTTTTTTTCGCTGGGGGTGTTTCAAAAAGAGATTAGACCAAGTTATGCCTGGGTGTAGGGAGGAATGTGCAGTGTAACGCTCCCCACAAAGTCCATTCTTTATGGCGCACTTTACGGATGCCTTGATTTTTTTACCACACGAAACAAGAGATATTCAAGACAGAAGGAACTATACAGTAATAATTAGGACTGTGAGTCGCTTCCCCGTTTGGGAATGTAAGTAAGTAAGTAAGTAAATTTACCTCACCAGGACATCACACGGAGCGATAAACACACGGTGACACAAAGTGCCACCATGCGGATGAGGATCACCCGTGGAGAGGTCCCAGAAAACCCTTTCAGCTGTTAGCCATATGTTAGGCCCGGCTATATTTAGGGCCCCTGGCAAAAGCCAGGGTGTAGCTTCAAATAAAAAAAAAATGTCATCGCACATGGAAACTTTTGACATACAAGAGATATGTTTGGGAATTACAGAAACTCCTAGAAAAGTAGATCACTGCAAAACGTCACTGGATCGGGAGAGTTATAGGAACATATGGACGTCAAACAACTGACTGGCAAAAGAAATATGGTAACATCTAGCTAGAACAACAGAACCATCGACTTAGCAAGGGGAATGACGGGAACACATAGAACAATAGATTAGGGCGGTGGAACAACTGACTTTTCTTAAACAAATCCCCCCCCCCCCCACCACACGGGAATTGCACACGGATGGGTCTTGGGACAGCTTAATATTTCAGGGGGAGGTAGGTGAATCGTAGTTAGTAATTTGGAATATTGCCGTGCAGTTTTGTGCTGTGCAGTGTGTGCTTCTTGTGCTGTGTTTTTGGTGTGCATTTTTCTGTGTTGGTGCAATCGGGAGGATGCAGTTTTTGTGGCTGGTTGCTGGGGAGGGAACCTTGGCTGTATATAGTCGTGAGACCTAGGCTCACGTGGGACGTAGGTGGGTTGGGGTCAGTTGTGGGTGTTTTGGGGTCGTTAAAAGCGCTCACATCGTGAAATATAGAACACTCGATGTCGCCGGCCGCTGATACAACTCTATGTGCAATCGCTGTCTGTCTGTCTGTCTGTCTGTCTGTCTGTATATCTATCTATCTATCTATCTATCTATCTATCTATCTATCTATCTATCTATCTATCTATCTATCTATCTATCTATCTATCTATCTATCTATCTATCTATCTATCTATCTATCTATCTATCTATCTATCTATCTATCTATCTATCTGTTGGTATCTATTTGCTAGCACAGGCATCACTTTTATTCCATGCGGATGGACTAATGTCATCCCCACAACCCAACCCTGGTTACGCCCTATAGGCCAACCCCTCCCTCCTTAGACACTCAGTGTACGCTGTTGGCGTCTACTCCGCCCCATTTTTCGATCCCCGCCCGCGCGTTGGAGATATATAGGCTAGTAGCTGACCTAGTCATTTTATTGTATAAAGTTTTTTCGCCAAGACACAGATGAGTTTAATTTATTTATCCTATGTAGTCACTTCATAGTTAGAGCATATTTGTGTATGTGTACTGTGTTGTCCTTTGTGTGCTGATGAAGGCTAATCACCGCAACGTCCTTTGTTTGTTTATTGTGATCGATTTTGTAAAGCTAACATAAACTATTTGTTGTTTCTTATCAACTTCTTCTCTTCCCTATAATTTTCTACCCCTTTTAAAACTTATGTGCAATCGGGGAGGAACTGCCAACTGGCCCTAACCCAACTGACTGGCAGAAGAAATCGAGAAGCACCTAGAACAACAGAACTCAGTGGGGCAGGAGAAATTTGGAACACCCAGAACCGCAGAACTGGAAAAGGGGGGGGGGTGTGGCTAAAACAACTAGGACAGTATGGGATAAACAACCAACTGTCAACGAGTGGATCTAGGGTCGATGTGTAAAAAGTAAAGTAAAGGACCCTTTTCCACGCGTTTAGGCGAATAGGGCATATAGTGCTAGACCTAAATTTTTATAGACCAATCAGCACAGGAGGGTGATGTGGTCAGCATCACGCCGGTCGCCTTTACTTTCCCGGGACTGCACCCAGTATCCACTCAAGGCTGGGTCGACATGGGAGCCAAAGTCATTTTTGAAAAAAGTCCGGCTCCGCCAGGGAGCGAACCCACGACTTCCGATCCGCGGCAAGCGTAGGGTCGATGTGGCTAAGCCGCCTTCATCTGGCCTCGATGCCAATGGTTCGTTTGGTGGTGGACCGCGACTTTCAGTTCACCAGTGCAATTTTCACGAAGATCCCTAGGATCGAGAGTGGAGTCGTGGTCGAGACTGGGTTCTCATTACATCATAACTGGATGTGTTTGGTACGTCTGAGCTGAGTGCTCGCCAGTCATAACCCCAGAGCAGTGTTCTTCAACTGGTTGGTCGCGAAAAGGTTCAGCTGGGCCGCCAGAGTGATAGCCTAATCACGTAGCGGGCTAAGGTAGGTTGTTTTCCTCTTTCATTATTGCTGTCTGCAGCCCATTTACGCAAAATTACCACCGGCGAGATGAGGTGCCTGAGAAAAGCAGCCAACCTAACCATCCGAGATCGAGTGAATAATGAAACTATCAGGCAAATTATGGGAACGAAACCTTGTACTAGATTCATCGAGAAACAGCAGATCAAGTGGTCTGGCCATCTTGTTGGAATGCAGCTAGACCAAATACCATAACAAACACTACATCTCAGAAGATCAGCTTCAAGAGCAAGAGAGCGGCCGCGGAAAAATGGATCGACAACATTACAGACACTCTACGCCTTCACGACATGACAATAGCCAGTAGCAGCCAACGTGCACTGGATCGCAAATTATTCCTTCACACGACGCTTAACGGCAAAAGTGGTTTATGATGATGATGATTATTGCTGTCTGCAGTTTTAACATATACAAATGGAAATAAAAGAGGTACAAATCCCGAAAACCTCGCTCAGCCGCTTTTATTTTTTAACCTCTGAGCAGCAGGAGTTGCATTTGCTGAAAATTGTCATTCTGTGACATCGGATGTAATCAAACTACTGCTGCCTACATGTGCTGTTCTTTCTGTTTGGTTAGCTGTCAGGTGGGCCGTGGAAACAAGTTCCCCCTGTTCTGGTGGGGCGCGGATGCAACAATGTTGAGAAACACTGGCCTAGACGACCGACTAGTGATAGACTACACAGTCTGGAACTGATTTCAAAATAATGTATTTTAGGCCGTGTGACTGAGAAAGGAGACGGGGCACGTGTGGGACTATCCCGAGTGCAGGATTGCCAATTCTTGATTCATTCGTTCACTGTTGACTTGTATGTGTAATTGGCCACTGTTGTACTCCGGGACAATCGTAGTCCGATCCCGCTGCGATGTTACTGGGACAATATTTAAAAAGTACATTCCCAAAAAACATCAGTGGATCCACTATAGAGAACCACTGCGTAGACTGTTCCCCCCGACCCTCACTCAGCCTATTCCCTTTCCCCCATTGGACGTTTGTTTCATCTACTGTCTATTCCAAATCTGTAGAGGCTTCTAAAACACCGAAAACCTGACTAGCTGGTAACTCAGCAAAATATAGGGCTGGCAAAATTTATTACTGCTGTCGTGAGGTGCCCAGAGAAGAAACGTCATCAGACCAGAGCAGGCACAAATGACAACTCCTGCATCGGCCGTCATCAAGCCCAGCGGACGGGTGATTTACACCGTCACAGGTGCTCTGTGGAGGCTCAGCTTCTGTCTGGTATGCCAGGTTAGCTGCACGCCTTTGCAGTTGAAAGTCAACGCTTGTGATTTTCTGTATTTGTCTTGCGCTTATCGGGTCGCTGGGGTGATTGATTTGTGCATATTTTTACAGGTTTTAGCTACACCGTTTATCCAGCTTTTTCTTAGTGTTCCCCTGGCCTTCCTCACAGATATTCCGTAGCAAAAAGTCTGATGTGCTGTTTTGTCTGGCTGCATTCTCACTAGATGGCCTGAACCATTTCTTTCTTTGTATATCAATGTAATACAGACACAGTCTTATTCAGACTATCTCTCTAATGCTGTTATTCGTAAGTCTGTCCCTTCTAGTTTTGTTAGTCAGCTTACGGAGACAGTGCAATTCACATGTAGTTATTTTCTGTTCTAGTGCTCTATTCATTGTACATGTACTTCGTGAATATATAACAGGGTATTCGTTATGCTTTTAAAAAATGAAGTCCCTGCACACTGGGTATTCACATGCATGCTCAGATTCCTTGATAACTGTCCCTCGAACTTAAAATATTGCTGAAGGTTACAAATTTTTACTTTCGCATGTCACTTATCCTCAAAACCATATACTAGAATACTACATGGGTAAACAAGAAACACTTAGAAACCATAACCAGGGAGGCAGCAACGAAACAAAGAGTTTATGTTAGCTGCTAGACAAGATTTCAAATTTCAGGTTTCAAACTGGCGGTCCAAAGGTTAGTTTGATGTGGGGTGTGTTCTCAAACCACATAACAGCTTGACCCCCCCCCCCCCCCCCCCCGCAACCCCTTTTTTCCATCAACTTCCAACTGCGGGGCATTCATTAAGCGCGATGGGGCGAAACTGTGATAACGTCACGTACCCATCGGCAGACTTATTTATCCCACAATCACAGAGCTTCCAAACTCTGAATGTTGTTGACTCACTTTTTAGACAAACATGTAGTAATTTTTTGGCACAGTAATTCGCTCTACTAGACAACCAGGGGTTTGCAAACCCATACATTTGCCGACTATTCTGTTCAACAGTTTACGTTCGGGCGACACACCTTTACACTGCAGCCCAGACACTCAGGTGTCGCGCCACACCATTTGGAAAGGCTCTGCACCAACTGATACCCTGGAGAGGGCTATCCGGTAACCTCCTACTTCGTCCTTCATCCCACAACACCTTGAATATCCATCCACAAGTGAAACCCACGGCGCTTGTTCAGACTTTGGGCCCCCTTCGAGCTGTTATTCTGAGATAGCAGTTGTCTCGCTTTACAAAATTTAA